CTTCCTTCCTTCCTTCCTTCCTTCCTTCCTTCCTTCCTTCCTTCCTTTTCTTCTTTCTTTAGTTAACGATCTTTTATTTTTTTAGATTTGTTTTAATTTTGTTTATTCTTTGTTCTTCTATCATATATTTTACATTCCCATGGTAGTGCCCCCCCATCTCCCTTCTCCCCCAAATCTACCCAGCCTCCTCCTCAGAGAAGAAGAGCAGACCTTCTAGGGACCAAACACTGCATAACAAGCTACAATAAGACTAGGTACATACCATCACATCAGGGTGTGTGAGGCAATCCAAAAGGAGGAAAAGGGTCCCACAAAAAGACAAAAGTATCAGGAACAACTCCTTTTCCCACTGTTAGGAATCCCACAAGAAGACCAAGATACTCAACAGTAACTGATAAGCAGAGGACCTAGGTCAGACTCCTACATGCTCTGTGATCTCTGAGAGCCGCTACAAGCCCCAGTCAGTTGATTCTGTGGATCACGTTCTTGTGGTATCCCTGATCCCTCTGGTTCCTCTGATCCTCCCTCCGCCTCCTCCTCAGGACTCCTGGAGCTCAGCCTAATGTTAGCCTGTGGTACTCTCCATCCATCAGTTGCTGGATGAAGTCTCTGGATGACAATTCTGATAGGCTCGGGTCCCAGAATACTCTTCAGATAGGACAAACTGTACGTCTAAGGTTTTGTGATTGGGTTGGTGTCCCAATCCCTCCACTTGAAGTCTTGCCTGGCTACAGGTGGCTGGTTCAGGCTGTATCCCCCATCACTAGGAGTCTTTGATAGAGCCACTCTCATAGATTCCATGGAGTTTCCACTGCACTAGACTTCCACCTCGCCCCCGAAATGCCTCTTCCACAATCCCGTTAATTTCTTCCAGTATATTTTCTCTCCGCTACACCTGATTCCACTGTTCCCAAGCCCACCTGCCCCAGTCCACCCATGAAATGTATTCTATTTCCCTTGCCCTGGAAGATTCTTGCAGCACCCTTTGTTACTTAGCCTCTCTGGGTCTGTGGACCCTGGCATGATTGTTTTTTACTTTACAGCTAATATCCACTTCTAAGTGCGTACATACAACGTTTGTCGTTCTGAGTCTGGGTTACCTGGCTCAGGATGACCTTTTCTAGTTCCACTCTGCATTACTTCTTGTATAAAGGAGCTTAAACAAATAAACAATCCTCATTGAAACAACAACCAACAAATGCCCAAAGCGTGTTAATATATAACGTAATATTTTACCTATTAAAACAGACTATCTGTCCTATGATACGTCAATGAATGCTACATAAGTTTTAAAATAATTAATATAAATCCGAAGACAAGACTGATAAAAGTGAAGGAAAAAGAGGAGGGAATTGTAAGAAATGAATGTATGTTTCATTTGCAGTCTGAGGTACATTTAGATCTCACAGAGTCACAGATAAGAGACACTAAGGCTCTGTGTTCTGCATCCTGTAGCTGGCCCTGCTTGACTAGTAGGTACCCTCCGTTCTCACTGGCCTGAAAAATAACCTCACACACGCTCACTCTGTATGTAAGTCCAGTAAACCCGTTGTTTTCCTAAAGAAGACTTTAGGGGAAGAAGCAGACGTTTGTTTACATTGATCCAGGGAAAGAAATCCTGGAACATATGAATTCATTGAATACTGTCCCATGTACAGTCACCAAGCCCAGACACTAATGAGGATGCCAAGAAGCGCTGATATAGCTGTCTCTTGAGAGACTCTGCCAGAGCCTGACAAATACAAAGGCAGATGCTCACAGCTAACCATTGGCCTGAGAATGGGGTCCTCAATGGAGGAGTTAGAGAAAGGATTAAAAGAGCTAAGGGGGGTTGCAACCCCATGAGAAGAACAACAATATCAACCAACCAGAACCCCCAGAGCTCCCAGGGGCTAAACCATCAACCAAGGAGTACACATTGAGGGACCCATGGCTCCAGCCGCATATGTAGCAGAGGATGGCCTTGTTGGGTGTCAATGGGAGGAGAAGCCTTTGGTCCTGTGAAGGCTGGATGCCGCAATGTAGTGGAATGCCAGGGCAGGGAGGTAGGAGTGGGTGGGTGGGGGAACATCCTCATAGAAGCAGGGGGAGGAGGGATGGGATAAGGGGTTTGGGTGGCAGGGACCGGGAAAGGGGATAACATTTGAAATGTAAATAAAGAAATTATCCAATTAAAAAAAAAGAAATAGAAATAAAAAATTAAAATAAAAGAAAGTCTTTTATGCCTTCAGAAGGGAATTATTTACCTTTTATACCCATCGTCTGGATAGCTCTATGTCAACGTGATATGTCATCTGTAATGAGGGAACCTCAATTATGAAAATGCCTCTATAAGATCAGGCTGTAGACAAGCTTGTTTTCTTCATTAGTGACTGACAGGGGAGAGCCCAGCCTGCTGTGGGCGGGGCCATTTCTGGGCTAGTGATTCCGGGTTCTATAAGAAAGCATGCTAAGCAGGCCACGAAGAACAAGATAGTAAGCAGTGTCTCTGCCTCAGCTCCATCCTCCAGATTCCTGCCCTGTTTGAGTTCCTGTCCTTCCTTTTCCTGTCCTTCCTTCCTTAAATGATAGACTGTGGTGTGGAAGTATAAACCAAATAGTCCCTTTCCTCCCAGATTGCTTTTTGGCCATGGTGTTTTGTCATAGCAATAGTAATACTAACCAAGACACCCACGATACTTTCCCCCACTTCCCACAAAGTTTTATGTTTTTTAAATTTCCCCTTTTATTAACAATAGATTCTTTTCTCATATACAATATATCCTGATTAATTTCCATTTCCTCTACTTATCCCAGTTCCTCTCATCCGGATCAATTTCTTTTCTGACTCTTCTTACAGAAGAGCTCAGATAACAAAACGTAACAAAATAAAATATAAAACGAAACAGAAATCATCAAGTAAGATTTAAATGTAAGAAAAATGTAAGACTTTCGGGTCTCGGTTTGAACTTAGGATTCAGGTCTTGGTTTAAACTTGGAATTCACTGTCCTGGCACATTCTAGGAGGAGTACATTCCTTAGTCAAAGGACACTTGCTGGATTAACATTCAGAGGAAGAAGGGAGAGGCTGATTAACATTCCTCAGACCACAGAGGAGGGAACCCACCTTCGGGTAAGGAGGGCCCAAAGCACATAGACACATTCCAGGAATCAGGAAGCTGAGCCCTTAACGTAATAAACCTGGGCAAACGGAGGACACTCCTTGTCATAATCTGAGTCACCTAGGGACCAAACCCGGAAAGGTCAGACTTTGTGGTTTGTCCTCGTGAGCTGTACAGTACCTATAAGTACTGTACTCAACTCCTTTTTGGGGCTCTCTTGCCTGCATGCAAGAAAGTCCTAGTGCACTAGTTTCATTAAACCAAACCTCATGTGATTGCAGTGAGTCCTGTTCCTGTGCATTTCTGTGCGAGCGCATCCCCTGGTTTTGGACCTCAGAGTCCAACAATCACATAGAAGAAGTTGAACAAGGCAAACCAACAGAAGGAGAAGAGTCCTAAGTGTTAGTATTCTGTCTAAACTCCACTTCCACAGTTACCTGGCAACAGCCAGGTATGCTCCTCCCCACAGTTACCTGGCAACAGCCAGGTAGGCCTGCCCACTATAAAAAGGGCTGCTTGCCCCCTCCTCTCCCTCTTAATCTCTTACTCTCTTGCTCTCTGCTCTCTTGCCTCTAGCTTCTCTCTGTCCCCTCACCCCTCTCCCCTTCCCTCCCCCCTCTCTCCATGTGATGTGGTCATGGCCGGCCTCTACTCCTCTACCTCTCTCTGCCTCTCTCTGCCTCTACTACCCCCCTGGCTCCCCTCCCCATGCCCTAAATAAACTCTATTCTCTGCTATACCGGTGTGTGACTGGTCCCTCAGGGGGAAGAGATGCCTCAACATGGACCCGCTGAGACATACCTTTCCCCCATACCTCTCCACACACCCACAGAACATACTCTTCATCTCTCTATCTTTTTATAAACACAACGCTAAGTGAAGACACGAGGATCAGAGATCCACTCATCCACACACTCAGGGACCCCATAAAAACACTATATTGAAAGCTATAATACATATGCAGAGGACCTAGT